AGTTAGGGCCAGCAAGGTGACTCAGAAGGTGAAGGCAATTGTCACCAAGCCTGACAGCCTGAGATTGATCCCAGGACCTACATAATAAGGGAGAAAACTGAGTAGCTCAAGTTGTCCTCTGACTGCCATATATGAACCACAGCATACATATATACACAAACAGGCACACATACATGCATGTACACACAAGAACGCATGTGCACATGCACACAGTAACTAAATAAGTAATTTTTTAGAAAAAATTTAAGATTCAAAAGGAAATCTTGCCCTCTGTATCCATCCAAATTTTCATGGGGGCTTTGAAAGGTAGTCACAAGTGTGTCTACTTTGAGGTCAATGGGCCACATGTGCCCCATCATGGCTCTGAATGCAGTCCAATACATAATAATAAACACATAATAATAAACAGTTTGTGAGTGTGAATTTTGTGAATGACACCATGCTGTCACAATGTCAAAAGGCTGAGCACACCAATCTAATTCTCACACACCTATGGGTGTTAGTCAACTATCCTAAAATTCCCTTCTGTGGACTATAGATTATGTCCAGCCCCAGAGTGTCAATGGGCAACCAAAAGAAATTTCTAGACAGAAGACAGAGCTTGAAGGGCACCCTTCAAGTTAGCTTCTCCCTGAACCACAAATGGAAGCTATTTCTGTTTACCACACAGGTCTTCACAGTCCAAAGCTAGGCTGAAGATCATAGAAAAGCTTATATATGTCATTAATTTTTGTCTTGTTATTTGTTATGATTTGAATGTGAAATTTTCCCATGGGCTCATGTATTTAAACACTTGGTCCCCAGCTGGTGGGGCTGTTTTGAGAGGTTTTGAAAGCTTGAGATGAGGGGCCTCGCTGGCTGAGCTGGCTGACATAGAGCCACAGGGACAGAGTTTAAGGGTTATAGCTCCACCTACTTCTGGTTGAAGTCTCTCTGTGTCTTGATCCATGTCACTTAGGCAACTGTCACGCCTGTGCCACAGTACTGCCCAGTGCCATCCCTTCCCCACCACGATGGACTGGACCCCCTCAAAGCCCACGTCAAAGTACACCCTTCCACCTTCAAGTTTTTTCTGTCAGTTATATGGTCAGCAACGTAAAATAAGTAACGCAGCTGTATTATGTTTTGTTTTGTGTTTTTCCACATAATCTCTGTGAATTTTTCTCCTAAAACTTCATGAGCCTTCCTCCCTCCCCACACACATGTTTTTGCTGTGGCAGAGGCTTGTAAGTCCTGCCAGCCTGGGTGTTGGCCTGGCTTTCTGGAGAAGGGTATCATTACCAAAAAGTTCACAAAAGCATGTGGAGGGCCACAACCGAAGATTTAAAAAGAGATGTGAGTTTCTAGAGCAATCTAAGCCGGAAGTCCTTCAATAGGAGACAACTTCAAATTTGGGGCTAAGTCTTGGGATTTGGAGAACCGGGTCCCTGATGGGGGAATCCCCTCTTGTAAAAGCTGAACATTTTCTGTGAAGGAGCCGCAGGAGGTGACAAAAGCTATGTTCCCTGCTTTAAGCAGGCTGTTGGAAACTGAGAAGCTGTTGGAATGTGATCATGGAGGCTCCTTGGGACACTGAGTTGCCTTGTTGCAACCAAAGGCCTTTCTGTGGGTAGCAAGGATGTTACCCTTACTCTAACCAAAAACTCCGATCTACTGTTGATGGTCTCAAAGACATAGCTGAGGTGAAATTGCCCACTTCCCGTTCCACTATCTGTCTCTGGTTCATAAAGAGGGAATCACACCTGTATCAATCCTCTTGTATCCCAGCTCTAAGTTCACTAACAAAACAGAAAGTGGTTGTTGGAAAAGGGAGAAAAGCTGCAGAAGTACCCTTGAGCTTCCCACTCCCCAGACATTCAAACATCCAAGGGAATAAATAGTCTTTCCTTGAGCCAGAGTAGGGTGTGCCTATGCTGTGAGAAGATAGTGTAAATTAACTGCATCTGGTCAGGCTGGGTGAGAAGGGGGAGGAGATAATTAACTGGCTTTATAGGAACAAGGGCAGAGAAGAGGGCTCTATGTTTACTCAGAGGAATCTGAAATAGATGTCTTTGTACCCATTTGGTGCTCTATAAGGGAATGTGATACCTTCAAGTAGGCAGACATTGAACCCAAGGACCAGACACACAGGTCAACCAAATCTCTGGATGATACAAGGCCCACCCTCGCCCACAACTAATGGAAGCCTTACTGCATGCACTCTACAAAGAGGCTAGGTGATGCCAACAGACATTTGAGAGCAGTAAAACAAGGCTCCAGTGAGGGAATATCTTCAAACCAAAGGCCTACGATAAGAAAGATGAACAAACACGTGTTTATAATAAAATCAGTTCTCTTAAAGCCTGACATTGACCAACTTGCAACACCATTCTTTGTGTTTCCACGTGTAGATAAGCAACAGCATTTCGGAAGTAACACATATTTCAGATGATACAGAGACATCACCAGCTGTTTTAGCATGTATAGGGTGGTAAAAATAAATGCCACTGTCACATAAAACTCCATAATACACAGCCAAGACACAATTACACAAATTCTACTCTTTTAGAAGAATTTAAGGCATTCTAGCACAACACATGAAAAATCTTTTCTCTGTAGATGCAAAGATTGTTTTCTAGGGCTGGAGAGGTTGCTCAGGGGTTCAGAGCATGTACCACACTTGCAGAGGACCAGAGTTTGGTTCCTAGCACCCACGTCAGGCAGCTCACAACTACCTGTAACACCAAAGCCTACACCCTCTTCTGGCCTCTGTGAGCACTGCACTCATACATACACAAATGGGCTCACATACATATAATTTATTCTTTTTTAAATGAAACAAGACTGACTTCTTTGGTAACATGTATTACTGAGGACATGCTCAACTTTGTCCACAGGCATGAGTTACATGGAGTTCTGTAAAGTATGTGACTGCAAAGCAGCAGCAACAGGATGTGTATTTATAAGATGCAAAGTTCTGCCAGTACTTACAGGTTTGTAAACATTTCTAAAACTGGTTTACAGGGTATTTATCCCAAGAACAGATGTAATAGTCATGAAGTTAGGGGATCTTCATGAAAGAAGAACTAACGTTAGTTAGAAAGACTAAATGAGGTCTAGGGAGCAAGCTCAGTAGGTAAAGTGTTTGTCCCACAAGTCTGATGACCTGAGTTTGGATCCCTAGACCCCACATAAAAGATTCAGTAGCACAAGCATCTATAATACCAGTGCCTTCTACCAAAACGTGGGAGGCTGACAGACCCCTGGAAGCTGTGGACCGCCTAGCCTAGTGTACACAGAAGTGAACAAGAGATCCTATCTTGGATCAAGGTGGAAATCAAGGGCAGACACCCAAGGCTGTCCTCTGTCCTCCACACAAGAACCATGGCACATGTGCACCCACACTCACATGCACGAACACACACACACACACACACACACACACACGACTAGATGAAGATCAGTAAGCTCAGTCTACATGCTCAAAAAGACAAGAACTGCATCCAGGCTGTTCTCATCTGCTTCCAGTTCCCAGGGGATCCCAAGGGCATCATGGGAAGGAGGAACGTGACTCTATGCATTGGTTAAAACAGAGAGCATGCTGGGAGAATACAACTGCAGCCTTGAGAGGAACAAAAGCCTAGCAGTAAGGTTACTGTGTCTTTGTGCCAATTCTGCCGTACCAATCATAAAAGTCATGCCACCGGGGCTGTTTTTCATCTACATACTTAGGAAGATAGACAACCCCAGCGAGTTCTCCCAACAATGTATATTTAAGTTTGCACTTTCAGAAATAGAAGAGAAACTGCAAACACCCCCCTAAAATGACAAGGTACCATACAGATCCAACAAACACTTTCCACTTGCCTAACATCCTCTTCCAGGCAGGTCAGCAACCTCCTGCAGCCAACAACAGGAGGCATTTTACCATGGCTGAAGAGTGATACTGAGCCCTCGGTCCAAGGTCAGGAGCTAGGACAGGATAGCAACTCCAGCCTCTTCAGTTCCTATGGCTATGCTATATTTTCCATAAAGAAAGCAAGCTGACTTTTCTGGGAAGAATGCCAAAGGTTCCATTCTCCCAACTGAGAATTCATTGGAATATTGGAATAACAACTTTGGAGACTGTGGTCTCTCCAATCCATTTCAGGGCCTGGCTAGAAACATGAAAACCCAGAGAAAGAAGCAATGGGGAATTATGCCGTTTTTTAACGAAAGAGAAAAAATTAGGGGTGGGAATAGGGGGTTTCTTAAAAAATTACGCGATTGCTGGAAGTTAATTTGGTATTTCTTCGTTGGTTTGTAAGTTCTGTTTCCAATCACAAAAACAGACAGCTGAGGACACCTAAATCGCTTTTCAGTGAATTCGCATCTTGTCCCAGAGAATCTTTCTCACTCTGAACACAGCGTAGAATATGGTAGATTGTGGTCCTGTGTGGCAGGAAGGGAGTGCAAGAAGGAGTTTGTTAGGAGCCCCTACATGGTTACTGAGCTGACAGTCTTCAAGCCAGGGGCAGTCAGCAAGCATGGTTAAGGAAAACATGCCACTGAACTTGGGGCGAACAGCTTTCTCTGGGAAACTGATTGGACCAGAGAGGGGCATTGCCAGCCTCACCTCCCTCGTCATTCACACACTTTACAAGGATGAAGTCAATTCTCCTGCAAATGAATCTGTAAATACACCTTCTCAAAGGACGATCCGGAGCACAAGCCTGCATCCTCAGTACTTGGGAGGATGAGGCAGGAGGACCACAAGTTCAAGCCCAACTTGAGCAACAAAGCAAGACCTTGTCTCAAAACACCAAAGAGAAAATAAATATGTGAATAAAGAAAAATAAAAGGAAGGTCCTGATTTCTTTCAAGAAACATCACGGCATGAGGAAATCCTCACTGAATGGGAATTCATGCCTTGTAGAAAACACAAAGGCGGACTTACAGCCAAATGCCCTGGGATCGCTCCTCAGAGCTGAGACTTACGAAGTCAAGAAAGCAAAGCAGATTGAAAATCATATTACCCCTACCTGTCGATGATGACGGGGTCTGAAGGCGTCTCATTCCTGTTCCCACAGCTCTTCTTCTCACAGCATCGGCTGTTGGAGGAGGGGGAATCAAAATGATGAAAAAAAAACATATCAAACTGAAAAAATTTAATGAACATACAACATAAAAAGATGCACAAACATCCAGAGCAGTCACCTGACTATAAGTTGCATGAGAGCAAAATGTGTGACAATCTTTACTTACTCCCTTTTAAGAATCTGAATCTGAAGCCCAAAACTCATCCAGATTCTCCATAACATAGAGACTAATTCTCTGCACATCTCAGCTTTCTCAAGAGCTGCTTCTATAACTAAGAAACAGATGGTTGGATTTTAAGATCTACAAGGTCACTTCAGGCCTGGTGCTCAATGATTTTATAAAAGTATAGTTTATGTCTTTGTAACCCGACAAATACTTAAAGAAAGAAGGGGAGGGAAAAAACATACAAAATAGACCAAAGTAGCTATCTGGATTGGTCTAGATCTCATTGGCTTGGCCAGTCAGCTTTCTATGAAGAACTAAGTGCTCTTTCTGAGTATTTATCCTTCCACTTCTGTTCACCATTTTCCAGAGACAAAGGAGGAAAATAGGAACCATGGTAAACATTTTTAAATTAGAAGGCTATGAGGCAGGTAGCTGGAGAATGAGAACTAATAATTTTCATCAGAACTTGAACATACACAAGTCCCAGGTCTGACAACTCTGCCTCCCACAGTGTCCCCTTTGCAAAGTGCAGGGTACCTGGTAGATAGCTGGGGAAACGGTGACGGGATTGGAGGAGAAGAGATAAGAGAAGTCACCAGAGCAGTTATAACAGCAAAGCAAAAAAGGACTCCAGATGGCTATGTAAGCCAAAGGTGTCTGTTCAGACTAAACAGACAACTGTGAGAAGTCAGAGGAAGCCAAGGGACCACCTCCTCAAAGCAGACACCTTACACAAGTCCCCAGATGCTGTCAGGGCCATAGACTTCCGAATGCTCCTGTGAGTTGTTCACTAGCAAATATAGTTGGCTTGCTTGCACCCTTGACATAGCTCACAAGAAAATCATGACCACTTCTACCTGTTGGAGATGTTTAATACATGTTTGTAATAGCCATCTGCATGTGCCTGCCGCCATGTGAGATGACCTCCTCTGCAGCTCAGAACTACTGCAGTGACAAAGAGAAACTCCTGACCCAGGAATCAGAGGTCTGAGCATCTAACCCATCACTAGTAGGCTACACGAGTTTGGTCCATTTTCTTTAGCCCCTCTGAACTTTGCATCTCTTCTCCAAAAACGGAAAGTGTTGGGTTGGATTATCTCTAGAGTGGCAGCTAGGTTTAAGCTCCATGCAAATGATACCAGCACAAAGGGAAATGGGAAGCCACATGATGACAGGGATCCCAAGATCTGCTCCAACCCAGTCACAAACCGGCTCTGTCCATTCTGATCCCCCATAGAACTGAACATAAGTAAACAAATGAACATCTTAAAACTTCTGAAAACCAGTTCCCTTCACTGGGGATGTGTGGATTAGTCCTCAGGCAACTCTGTAAAACGCACTTGAGAAACACTCACACCTGTTCATCAAATGGATACCACTGCAGCTTTAAGATATTTATCAAGTCTGTAAATATTAAAAAGAAAAATTGTCTCAACGTTCCTAAATACCAGTCTTTGCCACTGGGACTGTCTGAAATAATGTTTGACCTTTGAAATTATATTAGGTCTTAACTTTTAAAATTTCAATTCATCCCAAGATTAACACCAATACAAAATACTGGCCAGCTGCACTCCAGCCTCCCAAAGTCCTTATTTGTCCCCCAGACCCCACTCCCTGCCCTCCCCACCAGTCTTTGCCACTGGGACTGTCTGAAATAATGTTTGACCTTTGAAATTATATTAGGTCTTAACTTTTAAAATTTCAATTCATCCCAAGATTAACACCAATACAAAATACTGGCCAGCTGCACTCCAGCCTCCCAAAGTCCTTATTTGTCCCCCAGACCCCACTCCCTG